CGGGCAAGTCTTGGACAACATCAAACTTTACCTGCAAATTAAGACCAACAGCATGTACGGGTAAAGATACATTACCGATTGTTTGACTGGGCTCGCCGTTGAATCCGACAAGAGTGGAGCCGGAAGCAGCTAAGTCTTCTTCCTTGTACCCCATCTGCTTCAATGTCTTCAAAGTGGTGATGTTGGCGGTGCTACCGTTGTCCACCAAAACTCGTCTCACTTCACAATTGGCCACCCTAAGGGCAATGACCAGAGTGTCATGATGGGCATCAGTAGGACTCGTATGATCTGATTCGTCGAAGGTGATGGGCGCATTTTTCCAAGCTTCACCTTTTCGGACGACTTGGTTTACCTGCGACGACTTGTCTCGAGAATACTCCCGAGCTTGTCTCTTCGCTGCAGAATAGGTTAGTCCACACAAATCAGAACCACCATTAATGAAATTGATTACCTTTTGGGGTGCCGCAGGTGAAGGAGGTCGTTGGTGATCTGCGGACAACCTCTGATTCCTGTGCAACATGGATTTCGTCTGCTCTGACATGATCTCCGTTAGATACCCGTTTCTCAAGAGGTAAGCGACCTCTTTTCGTAAAGCCACGCAATCCTCAGTGTTATGCCCGATGTCGTCATGGAAGTCACATCTCTTGCTAGGATCCCGTCGCCCATTGGGTTTGTCAGACTTTCTGGGCCACCGAACCTTGTCTCCCAATTTGTCCAAAGCATTGATAAGTCCAGTTGTAGTGACATTAAAACAATATGTCGGAATGGCAGGCGGCAGATCGTCGAGCCAGGAAGTCGTCGAAGCAACGTGCCGTTCTTCATTCTTCGCATAAGGCTTTCCAGCCCTATAATCATGTTTTCTGGAGGTGCTGGCCTTCCGCTGTCCTCCTTCATAGCCAATCGCACGAAGTCGGGACTGTTCGTCCTCTTCGAGCCAGATGAAAGCCAAAGTCATGGCTTGGACATCTTCAAACGTCTTGCAAGGAAATTTGGTCAATTCCCTATACAAGTCCGAGTCTTCGCGCAATCCTCTTCTGAAAGCCTCTACAGCCGTTGGCGTGTCACATCTCGGAATCGACACTTTCTCCTTGTTGAATCGATGCAAGTAGTCACGTAAGGATTCGTTATGTCTTTGTACTACACGATATAAGTCACTGGTTTGCTTCTCCAATGTTCGACTACTCGCAAACTGCTGGGTGAACAAGTTAACCAGATCCGCAAAGGAGTCGATGCCGCCATTCGGCAAGTTGACGAACCATGTTAACGCTGGACCCGTCAGTGTTATCCCGAACGCCTTGCACATGCACGCTTCCCGTTGATCCGGCCTGACAGAAATAGCTAACATCCGTTGCTTGTACTGAGCGACGTGCTCTACCGGATCTGTGGTTCCGTCGAACAATTTCATAGGTGGGACTGCGAATTTCTTTGGGATTTCGACATCTGTTATATGTCGTCCGAATGGAGAATCCGCATAGCAAGTTCGTGTTGCCATGTCAAGAGGACGAGGAACCCCTGGCATGCCGTTATACTTTTCTCGCAACTCTTTCAATTCTTGCATGATAAAGGCCAACGGTTCCGCCATGTCTATATGCATCTGGGGACCTCCTGCTCCGAAATATGCTCCCGCCTGAGACACCCTCTGTTCGGATGGCGAACGTATGACGATAGTTTCCGGATGCTGTCGTCTCGGATTGCTGAAGTCGACATCTCCGATCATGTCGTCACGCTCGGAAATGTGTCGTCCTTGATGTTCAGCAAACAAATTGCGAAACACATTCCTTCTGGGGAGTGGTGCAGGACGAGATGATTGCCCCCTTCCACCTGTTGAACCGGCCAGCGAAAGGGGAATGAAGGGCTCCGTTGAAGTCGACACAGGGATAGGGATCGACATCTGCTGGTTGACGGTCTGCATCCCCGATGTCGTCGTTTTGGTTCGCAATGAATCCGGGAAGAAGCACATGGGGATGCTTGCTTCTGGAGTTGTCGCTGGGACAAGAGGTTCATAGGGTATGAGCTGCGAGATCGCCGGGACACCTTTAGCATATGGATCAAAGTTTGAAAGTCCCGGGAAAGCTTCGGATGTGAATGTGACTGTTGAGGTTGGGACTGGTATGGAATCTACGCCCAACTTTGATGCGGCAGTCATTACCTCTTTCCCTTTTCGTGATTTTGACGCTATGGACGCCACCGATTGAACTTGGGATCTCAAGGCGTCATTTTCTCCTTGGAGAAGAGTTATTCGTTGACGCATTTCCTCTCTTACGGCCTCTAGCTGGATTTGAGTATCCTCCTTTGACTGGTTAGCCTCCTTGGCCGCACGTAATTCTTCCCGGAGGGCTTCCAATTGTGCCGCTTCGGCACTTTTGGCCGCGCGGAGCTCCTTTCGGACAGCATCAAGCTGCGCTTGCATCTCATCAAATAGGGGATTAGAGCTTCCGGCCATCGTTGATTCTTGTTTTGCAAGAATTTCCCACAGACGGCGCCAATTGTTTTAACAAGAATTAAACTAATCTAAAATGAAATTGAATTGGGAATCTCACAATACGGAATCAACGATGGATGAGTCGAAATGAGAAATCAACAGAGTAGTAATATTATTAATGAATAATATAAAGTGGAGCACTTCGAATACAAAGAATATGGAAATCTGAATGTATTTGATTGCTCTTTTTCGTATATGCCTCTCCCCATATTTGTGTACATTCGTATGCTATATATACACTCCATTTGAATCACACGTTACATGGGTAATAATTATCCCTATTCATTATAATTAATTACAATGATATTTGAATATTAATTCTCCAAATTAATCATCATTATTGCCACTTTATTTCCATCCGTTAGGTCAAGGAAATAGGAGACTGCTCCCAAGCTTTTAGCTTCGTTCAAATCTGTCTTCATTCTTTTTTAATGTTCAGACCATGTCTTCTTTCAGCCCGTTAACTTGCTTGAGCAAATATTTCCCGGGCCCAACAGCGCTTTGTATGCCCTTAAAAAGTTCCTCTTTTATATATATATATTGATTGTTTTTGGTATTGGAACCATGTGTTTAATCCCTATGTTAATTGCTAATGTTAGTATGATGTTTTTCTTTATCCTTGTTGCTCTTAGATGATACACATAATTAGGACCTATTGCGGATGTTTTCTTCTCCCATCCAATGTAAAAATACAACGCTGAGAACCATTCAATTTATTGTAAATGTAACATGAATACTTGTTTTGAGTTGTAACTTGAAATAAAAGTCCACCTCATACGCTCACATATGTAACTTTTTCATGTATATATTTGACTATAACTTATTTATCCACTTTTTTTTTAAAACTTCATGTTATTTCTATTGTTCTTGAATGACTATAGTTCTCATGAATCCATAGTAATACTTATTTCCAAACTCTTAAGAGATCCTTAAAGTGAAAATGTTGACACCGCATTATCCACTTCATTGAAAAGTTGGACCCACCCGCCTCCTTTAATACTAGAATTTTAGACTATACTACTCTTTTATTCTCTTCGATTAGTGTGATTCTTACCATCCGAACCCCCATAAGCACCACATGTAGTATCATTGTATAGCTGTCAATCCTTTGATTTATTAATTGGAATCAGAGGTGATAATTAACCCTTGTCTTTATGCGAGACGTATTAGTAGTCATCTTTCCTACACACATACTTATATTTTCTCATCTCCCATCAAGATATTTTACTCTTTTATTTTCCTAGCTATAATATACATGAGCTGCACTTTATAAAAATAAATACTTGAAATGTTACTCTGATGAGTATAGCATTTTCACCTAATTAATAGATAAATGCCTCAAAATCTCTCTATATAAATATTATTTGTTTTGTCTAATTCAAATCATTTGGTTTCAATACTTCGGAAGTCTATTTTTTTCATTTCAGTACTAATTAAAAAATAGTTTTAAAATTTTATTGGGCATTGTTGGGCATTGGCACAATCGCGCAACGCGCGACACAAAAACTAGTAAATATAAAAATGACAATCAAGGCTAAAGGGCAGTTTTTATTCCAAAATGACGTTTTTTTGCAAATGGCAATCAAGCATATTAATGACTAATCACCTTGCAAGCTCTTCTTTGGAGGACTTAATTTCGGGTGCCCCTTAAAGGAAAAGATTTGACAAAAAAACGTGTACAAATAAGGCCTATACAAATCCATCGTGCCAACGTTTACTTTGAAAAGGTTGGTACCAACTACCATGGTGCAAGGGCCTCAAAGGGAACAGACTCGATGGACGGTGGTTATCATGCTCACGCCGGTTCCGACACCCTATCTGAAATCAGAACTGAAATATTCCAGTAAATACGATTCTAGTCCCTAACATACTTGATCTTAGGCATGGATCGGGATTGAACCGCGCCGGGCCCTGGGTCCAAAATATTCAGCCCGGTACCGGCACGGGTTAGTACCGGGACCAGACCGGGCCAGTCGGGCTCCAAATATTTTTTTATAGGCATTTTGGAATTAATTCCACCCCAAAAACCACCCAGCCCAGCAAGTCCCTCAATCGCAATCCAGGCAAGGTATTCTACCTGCCCAATTTCAATCTGAAACCGGAACAAGACCACCAAAAACGGCAAACCAGGACCACTCTAGTTTCACTGAGCCTTTCGAAGCTCAGTTTTTTTCAACAGCTCAACTTTTCCTGGCTTTAATAAAAAAAATATAGTGAGCAAGTTATTTTTTAGCAAAAAAAAAATATTGACACTTCTCCACTTTGAGGCCGTTTGGAACCACCTTTTTTCGGCTTATCAGGCTATTCAGCCAATTTTTTCACCAAACACGTAACTTTTGCTTTCGCGCACTGAGTTGCGTAATAAACAGAAAAAGTAAGGTTCGAGTTACTTTTTTCTGACTGTAGATGACCATTTTAGCTATTTTTACATATATTTTTTTCTTTATGTTATTAATAAAATATATTTTAAAATTAATTTTTTCTTAAATCAATAGAATCAGCCAATGCAGCCACTTCAGCCAGAACTTCAGAAAATTCAGTAGAAACAGCCAAAACAGCCAATTTTCATGCTACCAAACGGGCTCTTTATCTCTCCACTAAAATTCATTTTGCAGAGTTGCACACACTGTCATATCTTTAGAACTTCAACTTCAGCTTTGTGTATGTCAACAAGTTTTACCCAAATGGCTCTACTATTGAAGGAGAGCCTTATTACAAAAACAGGTTACATATATAGAAATTGTTTGATGAAACGGACACAAATTGCTTTTATATACTTCGTAATCCGTATAATAAGTATGCTACAAATAAACTTAGTTGAACTTGTCCAATGCAGGCAAAGAGGTAGCTAAAATGTCAGTTGCATGCTCTAATTCTTCCTTTGAGATGGTCAAAGGAGGCACAAGCCTCACAACATTCCCTTTCCCTGCCGTCAAAACAAGCAGACCAGAATGCTGACACGCCTCCACAAGCGGGGCCGCCGCCACATCAAGTTCAACTCCGATAATAAGCCCCACCCCTCTAACCTCCTTCACGTGTGAGTTTCCTCCCAACTTCTTGACAAGCAACTTTTTGAAATAGTCTCCTTTATCAGAGACGCCAGCCAGGAATTCTGGTTTTGAAATCTTGTCCAGCACAGTAACTGCAGCATGGCATATCAGGGGCCCACCGGCAAAAGTGCTACCGTGGTCTCCGTAGTTTATTGCCGCGGCTACTTTTTCGGTCACCAACACGGCTCCTATAGGTAGACCTCCAGCAAGAGGCTTGGCTAGTGTCATTATATCTGGGTATATGCCGTAAGACTCGTGAGCCCAGAGATGCCCACTTCGTCCTAAGCCGCATTGAACCTATAAAGCAGATATCTATGGTGATTAATTAAAGGCTAAGTTTGACATGCGGAAAATGGAAGGGAAATGAGAACAGTGTCATGGAAAAGTGGTGTTTTTATGTCAGGTTTGCCTTGGAAAATAAGAATGAAGATAGAGTTTTTTTAACTTTTTAGAATTTTACACACTTAGATCTCACAGTCATTCTATACTGTAATGTGAACATATATGAATAAATTGAGTATGAACAAATACGGAAGTACGTAATGCATTGACAAATAAGATAGAACTGGGTATAAACAGAGCCTAAGAATTAACATATCAACACCTTCATAGCAAGTACAGTTTTATAAAAGCGTACTTTTTCCCTCTTTTATCCATCTCAAATTCTCAATATTCATTTATACCACTTATTTAGTCCATGTAATTTCTTCCAGAACAACACTTCTGTGAACAGGAGTGAGAAGCTTATTGTGATTTCTCCCATAACTATAGAAATAGGCAAACAAAGATCACTAATGATGTAAAGTAACTCACCACATCCTCCAAAAGTTTAATGCCCCCAACAGTTCAAGTTTTTGGGGTAATTTTGACAAATTACCATAACTTTAATACCATTCATTTTAGACACTAAGTTGTACACCTACTATGATCATAAACGATGTTGTTATCACCATATTGCGCCGCAATTCCAAGGGTATAGTTGGGATCATATTATCATAACATAATCAACATCCCCTAAACCCCAGTTATGCTGGAATTGGTGAAACCCCGATTATGCTGAAATTGGTGGCATGGAGCCTTGAGTTTCTCTCGCTCCAGCCACTCCACACAATTTGTGTACAAAGTACAATTTTAAATATCTATTGTGAATTTGATTAGATTAGATTGATTGCATACCTCATCAAACACAAGAAGTGAACCAGCACTATCACAAGAAGTACGCAGGGCTTGTAAAAACTCCTTCGTAGCACTATATATGCCCCCTTCTCCCTGGATAGGCTCCACAAAAACTGCAGCAATTCTCCCACTCTGAATCAGTTCGGTTGCTGCCTGAATATTGCCATACTCTAAGAAAGTAACTCCTGGCATAACAGGCTCAAATGGCAATCTGTAATGCTCTTTGCTCGTCAAAGCAACAGCACCCATAGTCCTCCCATGGAAGCAATTGGAGAATGCGATAAACTCCACGGGAGGGATGTCGTCCTTGGCGGGATGTGAATATCTCTGGAACTTCCTGGCAAATTTAATCGCAGCTTCATTTGCTTCGGTTCCAGAATTCGAGAAGAAAACACTGTCAGCGAAAGAGAGACGAACAAGGCGTTTTGCCAGTTCAACCTGAATACACAAAGCAGATCCATGTAACCATCATAACCCCATAATTGATTTATTGATTAGTAATTCTCTCTTTTGGTCTCCTTAAAAACAAAGGTCAAAAACTAAAAAACAGTATACTACGGCAGATAAAGCCTCAGTCATTCCTATGCCACTCATTAAGCTTTAACTAAACACTGGTACTTAACACCATAGTAGTCTTTATGTTTCATATTCATCAACTCAAAACTGAAACAACTCAAAAATCAAGTTTTGCCCTAAATTGAAGACTAACATAGACAATAAAACAAAATTATGCTTCCTGATAAATCTTTTAAAATTAAACACAAAAAAAGCAAAGCTAAAAGTTACCTGCGGAAGTGAATGATACAAATTGCTGACGTGAGTTAGGGTGCCAGCCTGCTCAGTAACCGCCCGGAGCCAATCGGGATCGGCATGGCCAAGGGCATTGACGGCGATCCCGGAGGTCAAATCCAAGTACTCCCGCCCTTCAACATCCTTCAATTTACAGCCTTTGCCACTGGACAGGACTAAGGGAGCTCTGGCATAAGTCCCCACCAGGAACCTAGCAGACTCGTCCATGATCGTCCGACTCTTTTCTCCGGCGACGAACTTCGCCGTCTCAGCATCCGGTGCTCGCGTTTCCAAGTTAAGACACGCCGTGACCCTTCCGCCGCCATTCCGAGGCAGGGTCCGGAGACTCCGGTATTGGGGAAGGATATTGCTCGAGTGGCGGAGATTAAGGGCCGCCGGTGAAAGAGGATTGTGCTTGACGGAACCTAGGTTGGTTGAGGAAGTCATTGTTGACTAACTCCAATTTGGAAAGGAAATTGGAGAGTGGAGAAAGTTGTAATGAATGAGGGTGGAAGGAACGAGGAAGATTAAGAAAAGAATAGAATGAAAATGGAGAAACAATTTGAGTATTGTTATAATATGGAAGGAAATAAGCAGAAGATCAGGGAGAGAAAGTATAGTCTGAATACTTAGTGAGAAAGATGTTATTAGAAGTGTGATAATGGTGTAACCATGGTGTTGTGTTAATTACAATGGAGAAGCCTCCTATTTATAGGAGAAAAACTAAGCTTCATAGGATTAGAGGATAATTGTGAACCACACAATTATCATCTAGAATCATAATTATGATTTCCTGATTATTTATATAATGGTGATAATAATTCCTAATCAGGAATAGTTGGAAGATGACTAATTCAATAATATTTCAACACTCCCCCTTGAATGGTCATCTTCTAATTATTCTGGGGTATTAGTTTCATAGTATTATAATGTACTGTCTCGTTAAAAACCTTTGTCAAGAAAAACCCAGTGGGATAAAAACCTGACGAAGGGAAAAAGAGTGCAGTGCATTATATTACTCCCCCTCAATTTAACATACATCTCGAAGACGATACATTCCAATTTTATGGACCAGTTCTTCAAATTTTTTCGGTGTCAATGACTTTGTGAACAAATCAGCAGGGTTGTCGCATGACTTGATTTGTTTGACATCAACCGTTCCGTCTTTCTCAAGATCATGTGTGGAGAAAAGTTTTGGTGCTATATGCTTTGTTCTGTCCCCTTTGATGTAACCTCCTTTGATCTGAGCTATACATGCTGTATTATCTTCATAAATCACAGTAGGATTAGAAGTAAAAGATTTTATACCGCATTCATTTTGTATGTGCTGGAAACCAGACACACTCACGACCTGCTTCATAAAGAGCAATTAATTCTGCATGATTTGATGATGTTGCAATTAATGTTTGCTTCATTGATCTCCATGATATAGCGGTATCACCATAGGTGAATAAATATCCTGTTTGTGATTTTGCCTTTTGTGGATCAGACAAGTATCCTGCATCCGCGTAGCCAATTAAAGTGGCATTTGCACCATTCTTGAAATACAATCCAAGATCGATTGTACCATTGAGATATCGGAATATATGTTTGACACCATTCCAATGCCTTCTTGTTGGGGAAGAACTGTACCTGGCTAATAAATTTACAGAAAAGCAATATCTGGTCGAGTATTATTAGCCAAATACATTAATGCTCCAATATGGTATTTCGGGACCAAGAATTTCTTCATCATCTTCACAAGGTCGGAAAGGATCATCATGCACATTGAGAGATCGAACCACCATTGGAGAATTGAGCGGATGTGCTTTATCCATGTAAAATCGCTTCAAAAGTTTCTCGGTATAATTTGATTGGTGGATGAAAATACCATTTCTCAAATGTTCAATTTGAATGCCGAGACAAAATTTTGTTCTCCCAAGATCTTTCATTTCAAATTCTTTCATGAGATATTTTGCAGTATTTTCAATTTCATTAGGAGTTCCGATTATATTCAAATCATCAACATATACTGCAATTATGGCGTATCCTGATTTGGATCGCTGAATGAAAGCACATGGACTAATAAGATCATTTTTATACCCTTCTTTAATCAAATATTCACTGAGACGGTTATACCACATGCGTCCAGATTGTTTTAATCCATATAATGACTTTTGCAATTTTATGGAAAATAAATCTCGAGATTTCGAGCTATAAGCATCAGGTATTTTAAAGCCTCCAGGAATTCTCATATATATGTCTGTATCGAGTGAACCGTATAAATATGCGGTCACCACATCCATTAGGCGCATTTGCAGCCTTTCAAAAACAGACATGCCAATTAAAAATCTTAAAGTTGTAGCATCAACTACTGGAGAATACGTCTCATCATAATCGATTCCTGGCATTTGAGAAAAACCTTGGGCAACAAGTCGGGCTTTGTATCTAACGATTTCATTTTTCTCGTTGCGTTTACGCACAAAAACCCATTTAAAACCGACAGGTTTTACGCCTTTTGGCGTATGGACAATTGGTCCAAAAACATTACGCTTTTCTAGCGATTTTAATTCTACCTGAATTGCTTCATTCCATTTTGGCCAATCATTTCTACGACGACATTCGTCAATAGATTTAGGCTCATTGTCATCGTGTTCATTCATTATATCTGTGGCGATGGCATATGAAAATATATCATTAACATCAATATCATTTCTATTCCATTGTATTCCATTAGAAACGTAATTAATTGAAATTTCAAAATTATCGACGTTTCTATCTTTATCTGGAATATTTACCTCTTCGAAGGTGATTGGATCCTCTTTTGAGGTATCATTATTATTGATGTTATCTTCAAGGCCGATATTTTCAAAATGTTCATTTTCTTCTTGAGAAGGTTGAACTTCTTTGGCATCACAAACTACAACTTGTTGTTTAAATTTTCTTGGTTTCAAATCTCTTGAACCAAGTGGTCTACCACGTTTTTTACGTATCATAGATTCATTAGCAAGTGTTCTTTCGCTAATCTCCGCAGGAATTTCTATTCGAGAAGGAGCATTCATAGCTGGAACATGTGACTTTGTCACTTTCTTTGAGTCTGTGAAAGCATCAGGCAATTGGTTTGCAACATTTTGTAAATGAATAATCTTTTGAATTTCTTGTTCACAAGCATTTGTGCGAGAATCAAGAAAAGATAAATTTGTTGTATTCCAAGTAATATCTTTCGTACGTGGGTCCATTTCTTTAATATCTCCCCCTAAGGCTGGGAATACTGTCTCATCAAAATGACAGTCATCGAACCGCGCGGTGAATAAGTCACCGGTCATAGGTTCTAGATAATTAATAATTGAGGGTGATTTAAAACCAACATAAATTCTCAGCCTTCTTTGAGGACCCATTTTAGTACGATAAGGTGGAGCAATTGGTACATACACAGAACAACCAAATATTTTTAGGTGTGATATATTTGGTTCTTTGCCAGATATTAATTGTAATGGGGAAAATTTATGATATGCCGTTGGCCTAAGCCGAATTAAATTTGCAGCATGCATTATAGCATATCCCCATGCAGATGATGGTAATCTGGATTTCATCAATAATGGTCTAGCAATTAATTGTAATCGCTTAATTAAGGATTCGGCAAGACCATTTTGTGTATGTACATGTGGAACTGGATGTTCCACATCAATCCCAATTGACATGCAATAGTCATTAAAAGATTGGGATGTAAATTCTCCTGCATTATCAAGTCGGATTTTCTTTATCGAATAATCCTGAAATTGTGATCTCAAACGAATAATTTGAGCAAGGAGATTTGCAAATGCAAAATTTCTAGTCGATAAAAGACTGACATGTGACCAACGTGTTGATGCATCAATGAGCACCATAAAATATCGAAACGGTCCACACGGAGGGGTAATTGGCCCACAAATATCTCCTTGAATTCTTTCTAAAAATGCAGGAGATTCAACTCCAATTTTGTATAAAGATGGCCTGATAATTAATTTGCCAAGAGAACAGGCAGTGCAGGGAAAATCACTTGATTGTGGAATCTTGACATTAGTTAATGAATGTCCAAGTGAATTTTCAATAATTTTGTGCATCATAGTGCTGCCTGGATGACCTAAACGGTCATGCCACAAGATAAAAGAATTGTGGTCATAAATTTTAGATACCACATTTATCTCAATTGGACTGATATATGTATAATACAGTCCCGAGGAATATGCTGGCATTTTTTCAGAAATGTATTTATTGCCAGATCTATTTGTCGTTAGACATAAATATTCCTTCTGATTTTCAGACATGGTTTTAATATGAAAACCATTTAGACGCAAATCTTTAAAGCTCAAAAGATTTCTCCGTGATTTACTGGAGTATAAAGCGTCTTTAATTATTAATTTTGTCCCTTTTGGGAGAATCACACAGGCTATTCCAGAACCTTCAATGAGTTTAGCAACACCTGAGATTGTATTGACATTAGCATCAACTAATGTCATATGAGAAAAATAATCTCTATGTCTCAAAATGGTGTGCGTTGTGGCACTGTCTATTAAACATTGTTCAAAGCCACTTGGAGAAATTTCAGTTAACTCCATATCTTCGCGAAGATAAAATGAACAAATATTAGTTCAATATTGTAATATAAATTGTACTTCACTTAATAGTACATTTAATTGTGCATAACTTTCACGTTAAAAATAAGCACTACTTTAAATTTCTATTTTGAAATATACTCCATACTAGATAACAAGGAGAAAATATAGTGAGTTACTCTATTCGGACTTTCAATAAGAGAAGTGATTTAGGCCACATATTTACTTCTTATTAATTTCAACCTCATCATTTGAGATTAAAAACGATCATGAGTGCCGTTATGAGGGGTTATTCCCGGCAATTGACAGAAATGTACATAATGACCGTTTGGTTCAAGTTACTGTCATACCAATTGTTAAGGGGCCCTCTTAACAATTAGAGATATGCAACTCATAACCAAAGGTCCATAAAGTACAAAACTTATGCTCGTTATTTTTAATTGAAAGATTGTTTTTTATACAGATAAAGTCATAAAGACATTTAAAGAGATGGAAATAACCATGTTGTTTTTGGATTCACTTTACGTGAATGAAAGCCAAATAAGGGAGTAATAATAATAAACATCCATAATGTCAACTGATAACTCAATTTAATTAGTACTCAGTATAATATAATTATACTACTACGGCAGTACGGCTAAGTTGGTTTCAATATTATTCCAACTAATGTGTTTATTCAAAATAGTCAATATATACTAGAATAATACGTATTACATTAGTTATACGATTACATATATTATGAAATGATTGTATAGTACATGGGATCAACTTTATTGTGCACCATAACTTATTAGAGCACGTAGATCCAATCTTAATTAAGGTAGCATGTGAACTATGGGTTGGGTTTTCAGAAACCAGAATTGTTCGTACTTCAATCTTGTTTGAAAAATCAGTATATTTATAAATTGTCCGTGTATTGCGGAAAATGTATTGAGCCTCAATTTCTGCCTATCTCTTTAACCAGAGATATACGGAGTATATAATATATTTAATTAAAATATTTCTGATACATACAATCATTCATAATATGCTATAAGAAAGTGGTACGTATAATTGAACTTTTAGTTCATATTCATCATAGTTTCATTGTTCGGCAAGAAAAGTGAAGAATATTAATTACCAAGTATTTGGGAATCAAAATACTGGAATAATAGTAGTTATACAAATTAGTGTACTACATGTATATACTACTCCGTCACAATATTACTACGTACGTAGTATAATGTCATCAGTTTATCATTTAACTTAATAAGACAAATGTCACATGCATATGTTTCTTTTGCAGGCCACGGAAATGACACATACATTGACTTTTGAATATATTAATTAGATTACAGCTATTCAAGTTTTTGGAATCCTTAATTTTAATTCACTCTGTTCATTGTTTATTTATTTTTGTACCCGTATGTATCATCCTTTTGCTTCTCGAGTTATGAATCTTCTCACAGCCTCACCTTCAAGGCTTCAATCTCTTTTTATTAGAGTATTTTTCTTTCTTGAGTTCACTCACCATACTTCCTTGTTTTCCTCTAGCGTATCAGTATAGAGGTAAACGATTCAGTCTCACTTCATATTTTATACTATCGTACTTCGGTATTTAGTTTTTAGCTTAGTATATTCCGGCCAGGAGTACGACTTTGAGTAGATAAACATATTATACAAATTTATCTACAGAATTTGGTTATTAAACTCCTTTTCTCACTTTGAGCATGTACGACGCATAGTTGAAGTCTTGAAGACCTACGGCCAGAGTGTTATTCAAGATAAGCTGATCTCATACGTAGTATTTGTGAGTTCTCTCCTTATACTTTTATATGTTTATGGTTTTCTTTGGTTATACCCCATATACATACATTATAATATTATATTATCATATACAAAGTATATTTATTCATATATATACATATATAACGTAACTGAGAATCAGTGATGTGCCCCGTAAGTAGTGAATGTTCAGATTCTAATAAAGGAGCAGCATATATATTTAAAGATAACACCAATTAAAGGTATCTTTATCTTTTTCCCTTATCCCAATTGTTGGGCAACCATAGAGCATACTTCTTATATTTTTGAATATATACATAAATATGTTTATACTTCTCAACATCTAATTTTTCTTTTCCAGATAAGTTGATAAATTCATGAAATAATATACCTGCTGGGAAGATGATGATTCCAGGATTTGGAGCAAATTCGTGCTGATAACGTGTTATAATATGGAAGGAAATAAGCAGAAGATCAGGGAGAGAAAGTATAGTCTGAATACTTAGTGAGAAAGATGTTATTAGAAGTGTGATAATGGTGTAACCATGGTGTTGTGTTAATTACAATGGAGAAGCCTCCTATTTATAGGAGAAAAACTAAGCTTCATAGGATTAGAGGATAATTGTGAACCACACAATTATCATCTAGAATCATAATTATGATTTCCTGATTATTTATATAATGGTGATAATAATTCCTAATCAGGAATAGTTGGAAGATGACTAATTCAATAATATTTCAAGTTAAGACACGCCGTGAGAAAGATGACAATCAAGGCTAAAGGGCAGTTTTTATTCCAAAATGACGTTTTTTTGCAAATGGCAATCAAGCATATTAATGACTAATCACCTTGCAAGCTCTTCTTTGGAGGACTTAATTTCGGGTGCCCCTTAAAGGAAAAGATTTGACAAAAAAACGTGTACAAATAAGGCCTATACAAATCCATCGTGCCAACGTTTACTTTGAAAAGGTTGGTACCAACTACCATGGTGCAAGGGCCTCAAAGGGAACAGACTCGATGGACGGTGGTTATCATGCTCACGCCGGTTCCGACACCCTATCTGAAATCAGAACTGAAATATTCCAGTAAATACGATTCTAGTCCCTAACATACTTGATCTTAGGCATGGATCGGGATTGAACCGCGCCGGGCCCTGGGTCCAAAATATTCAGCCCGGTACCGGCACGGGTTAGTACCGGGACCAGACCGGGCCAGTCGGGCTCCAAATATTTTTTTATAGGCATTTTGGAATTAATTCCACCCCAAAAACCACCCAGCCCAGCAAGTCCCTCAATCGCAATCCAGGCAAGGTATTCTACCTGCCCAATTTCAATCTGAAACCGGAACAAGACCACCAAAAACGGCAAACCAGGACCACTCTAGTTTCACTGAGCCTTTCGAAGCTCAGTTTTTTTCAACAGCTCAACTTTTCCTGGCTTTAATAAAAAAAATATAGTGAGCAAGTTATTTTTTAGCAAAAAAAAAATATTGACACTTCTCCACTTTGAGGCCGTTTGGAACCACCTTTTTTCGGCTTATCAGGCTATTCAGCCAATTTTTTCACCAAACACGTAACTTTTGCTTTCGCGCACTGAGTTGCGTAATAAACAGAAAAAGTAAGGTTCGAGTTACTTTTTTCTGACTGTAGATGACCATTTTAGCTATTTTTACA